TGGTCCCTGGAAAAGACAATAATGCAAGAATCACTGGAAAAGGCAATCATGCTAGTAAAAGTCGAAGGCAGCAGGAAAAGAGGAAGACCCAACAGGAGATGGAGGGACTCTAAAAAGGAAGCCATGGCCAGGGGTCATTTCCTGCAGGAGCGCACAGGGGCGGAGCTCCTGCAGTAAAGAGCCCAGGGGGCGGGCACATGCAACAAGCCCCACCCCCTGCTCCCAGCAGTTCTCAGTCAGAGCAAGAAGCAGCCAGGTAAGTTGCAGAGCTCCCCCCTGCCCCCCCCGGCCCAAAACTATCCAGTGGCAACTTTAAGACCAAGTTTTATTCAGGTACAAGCTCTCCCTCCTCTGTGAGGACAGAACTGCACTCCCCACCCCCGATAGCTAGAAATCCAAAACAGTCTGGTGGAGCCGTGGTCCTCAGTTTGCAACACCTGAGCAAGGCTGTTAGCAACAAGGCGCTTGGGAGGTTGTTCATTCATAGGGTCGCCGTAAACTGAAAGTGACTCGGTGGCATTTAACCTACCAGACAACCTACCTAGCAAGATTTCATCAAGGCAGCTTCCCGTAATGGTCACCACCACCCCTTCTCCTCCCCACTTTCCCAGACGTAAATGGGGTATGCGCGCTTAGATGGTGTCATTTTTAAAAGGAACGTCCAACCCACACACAGAACTGAGACGTCACCACCAGTGCTCCTTCTAAGCCGTGGAGTCTTGTGAGCAAAAATTCTACTTTGTGAGCCACTGGCATTCAAGTTGTGAGCGAGCGATTTGGCTGCTGCGTAACTTAGTTTGCTCTGGAGCCCTCCTTCCTGAGCCGAGACAAAAATGTGTGAACTGGCAGCTAAAAAACTGTGAGCTACCTCACATTTACTCAGCTTAGAGGGAACACTGGAGCACAGCTCAGTTATTACAAAAGCAGGTAACGGCTCTGTTTATCGCCAGAATAAAAACCAGTTTTGCCCTCCGATACTCAGCCCATATTTGCAAGTACAGTACACTTCTGCTTCTGGAGCACAGCTCATATGACACAGAGGGTACACATAAGAGTTGCCAGGAGCAGGGAAATATTGTCTCTTGGAAATAAAAAATCCTTAGAATTCCTCTTCTCCTCCCTTGACAGCAAGGCAACTTCTAAAAGTTAACGGTAAAGGTTCCCTTGCTCGAAAGCCAGTTGAATCCGACTCTAGGGTTGTGGTGCTCATCTCCGTTTCAAAGCCGAAGAGCTAGCGCTGTCCGAAGATGTTTCCGTGGTGCTGTGGCCGGCATGACTAAACACCAAGGTGCACGGAACGCTGTTCCCTTCCCACTGAAGTGGTACCTATTTATCTACTTGCAATTTCTTGCTTTTGAACTTCTAGGTTGGCAGGAGCTGGAACTAGAGATGGGAGCTCACTCCGTCATGTGGCACCCGGGTCTCGAACTGCTGAACTACCGACCTTCCACAGCCTGCAGTTCAGCGTCTTAACCACTCTAGCCACCACAGCTCCAAGAGGCAACTTCTAGCATATGTTAAAACAATATATATCAACGTGAACAACTACAGTTGCGAGCTCTGGGATGAGAAGTATCTGGAGATCTGGGGGGTGGAGCTTGTGAGGGATTTGGGACGGGGAAGGGGCCTCAGCAGGGTACAGTGCCATACAGCCCACCCTCCAATGCAGCCAATTTCTCCAGGGGAGCTGATCTTGATCATCTGGAGATCAATTGTATTAGCGGGAGGTCTCCAGGTGCCAGTTGGAGGGCAGCAGGGGTCATTTCCTGCGGGAGCTCCGGGAGTAAGGAGCCCAGGGGGCGGGCACATGCAACAAGCCCCACCCCCTGCTCCCAGCAGCCCTCAGTCGGGCCACGAGGCGCAAGAAGCAGCCAGGTAAGTTGCAGCGCCCCCCGCCCACCTTCAGGTACAAGCTTTCCCTCCTCTGTGAGGGCAGATCTGTGCGTCCTCCACTCATAGCTAGCAATCCAAAACAGTCCAGTGGCACCTTTAAGACCAAGTTTTATTCCGGTACAAGCTCTCCCTCCTCTGCGAGGACAGATCTGCACATTCTCCCCCCCCCCAATAGCTAGCAATCCAAAATAGTCCAATGGAGCCTGAGTGGTGGGTGTTGCCTTCTGACACACTTCCGGTGATGTCAGGATGGGTGGCATATGCAAATGTTATCCTAATAAGTTATGCTAATGAGCTCCTGCACCTCTTTTTCTACGAAATGTCCACTGGAGGGGCAGCAACCCTAGTGAACCACACACACACACACACAGAGAGACTACAATAAAATTGTCTGCAGAAATAAAATTAGCCAGTATAAAATACCAGTTCTGCAAAGGTTTGCTCAAACAGGAACATTCTACAAATTTCTCAAGGTGGGTAGCCATGTTGGTCTGAAGCAACAGAACAAAGCTAGAGTCCAATGGCACCTTTAAGACCAATAAAGTTTTATTCAAGTGTGCATGCAGATGAAAGCTCACACCTTGAACAAAACTATGTTGGTCTTAAAGGTGCCATTGGACTCTAGCTTCGTTCTACAGATTTATTTGCTTCCTAAAGGCAAACGAGGCTGATTATATCCAAGCTCCTGTCGGGGGGAAATCCAGAAGATTAGGGCCTTTACTGAAAACTCTTGAGTCACCTACCCCAAGTGATATGACCTTCTGGAGGATTTATACCTGGATCAGAGCCTTCCCTAATTATGGTAATGGCTTGGACCCAGTGGACAGTGGTATGAGCCCAGGTGAGGGCAGGTGTCCCTTGCTTGGGGCAACATAACCCCTGGAACTGGCCCTGCTTGGCAGGCTGGTATTCCAGCATCACTCCTCTGTGTGCGTGTTAAGTACTGTCAAGCAGGGCTATTTTGGGGCAGGAACGCACAGGAACGGAGTTCCGGCTGGCTCCCAAGTTGGCTACGCCCAGCAGGAACTCATTAGCATAATAGGCCACACCAAACAGCAGAAACTCAGTAGGATTGGCTACATTAGGGGCGTGTGGCCTAACATGCAAAGGAGTTCCTGCTACAAAAAAGCCCAGGGTTTTGACAATAAACAAGGAAAACAGAATAAGAAGCAAAAGGTGGGTGTGGCTGAATGACCACACTTCTGGTAACACAGGGGTGTGGCCTAATATGCTAGTGAGGTGTGCTGTCAGGGGTGTGGCCCAATATGCTAATGGGTTCCTGGTGTTGGGTGTGGCCTGTTATGCTAATGTCGCTGCTGAGCTTTTTCTACAAAAAAAGCCCTGCTGTCAAGTAATGTTCAATTTATGGCGACTCTATGAATAAATGTCCTTCCAGACTTCCTGTCATTAATGGCCTGCAAACCGTGGGCCGTGGCTTCCTTACTGGAAAGTTAAAAGAAGAGGGGGGAAATGTAATCAATCTTATTGGTTCACAAAATTAAATTAGCCCACAAAATTAAAAGAAAAAAGTTCCACAGGAAAACATCTTATACAGAAGATTAGTGAACTTTACTTGGATTTTTGTCTTCTGTATTGAGTACTGCTGGATCCTAACCCTTTAAGAAATTACAAGAGTGTTTGCACTGGAGAAATATTTGAACTGTGAAGAATTGTTAAAATTGTCTTGGATAATATACGTTCTTTCTACTTCGGTTCGTAAGTTATTCACGGAGTGTTTGTGTTTTGATACAACCTCCTCCCGTGAGCTCTCTTTTGGATATAAAACCACCTGCAGGTTGGCAATCCTAATCTGTTCAGTTCAAGACCGATGCTTCCTCTACACCGTGGAGTCTTGTCAGCAAAAATCCTATTTTGTGAGCTCCTGGCATTAAAGTTGTGAGCGAGAGATGTGGCTGCTGCATAAATTAGCTTGCTCTGGAGTCATCCTTCCTGCGCTAAGACAAAAAGGTGTGAGCCGGAGGCTAAAAAGCTGTGAGCTGGCTCACACTAGCTCAGCTTGGAGGGAACACTGATCAGGACCGATGCTCCCTCTCAGCTGTGGAGTCTTGTCAGCAAAAATCCTATTTTGTGAGCTCCTGGCATTGAAGTTGTGAGCAAGCAATTTGGCTGCTGCCAGGGCCGGCTCACTCACTAGGCGTCTAGGCGATCGCCTAGAGCGGGCTGGCCCTTAGGGGCACCAAACTGCACCCAGCCTCATACTCTGGGAGTTTCTTGATTATTTGTGTTTTTCATTCTTCCTAAAATGCATTTATTTTTGAAAATTGGTGGGCAGGGGGGGGGCGCCAGAAGGGATCCCCGCCTAGGGTGCAAAATAAGCTGGGGCCGGCCCTGGCTGCTGCATAAATTAGCTTATTCTGGAGCCATCCTTCCTGCGCTAAGACAAAAAGGTGTGAGCCGGAGGCTAAAAAACTGTGAGCTGGCTCAGACTAACTCAGCTTAGAGGGAACACTGGTCAGGACCCCCACTTCAACGTCACAGAATTTACTCTGTGTGTGTATGTGTAGATGTGTGCATTAAAAAAAGAAAGAAAGGGAAGAAAGAGGAAGCTTTATGAAGGGAGCCTGCTGTCTGGCCGAATCCCTTTTTGGGCGACATTCCTGTCAAAACCGCAAGCGAAATGGCACCGAAAATTCTCGTGCCGGCTCGGGCATTTCCGTCGGATCCCGAGTCGAGCTCCGTCACAGGAGCCGAACATCTTCGTTCATTTCCGGGAACATTCGTCTCCCGCATTCCATTCGACTATGAATGAGCTAAAGATACGCCTCTCTCGTCTCCTCAGGTCCACTTCGTGTCACTTCGGTAATTTCCGTCCGTGGGGGGGGAGAAAGGAAACGGACCGCCGTTCGCATCCCTTCGGCCCTTTCCGCGGCCGCAGATTCGCGGCCGCAGATTCGCTCGCGGCGGAGCTCCCGAGGCGACGCGAGTCGTCGGCTCGTTCCGTCAAGACTTCTGGCTCCACCCACCCCCCTGCCCGAACGGAGACGCCTTTCGGATTGTTCCGGAGAACGAGCGGCAGGGGAAGGCCTTCGGGCCCCCTTCGGCACTTTCCGTCAGCGCTCGGGCGGACTCGGTGCCTGACGGGCCGGGGCCTTCCTTTCCTTCGCTTCCCCTGCTCTCCTTCACGGCTCGGTTAACGGTCGCCGCCAGTTTAAATGAGTCCGGGTCCCGGCCGCCGCGTCACCCCCTGAGGCGGAGGCGGAGTCTGTCAGGAGGAGGAGGAGGGGGGAGAGGAGACCGAGAGCGAGCAAGAGAGAGAGAGAGGAGGAGGAGGGGGCGCCCTCCCCCCCCACCTCCCTCATCCGGGTCCTGTCCCTGAGGGGGAGCCGGGGCAGGATGACGGTGCTGCAGGACCCCGTCCAGGTACTGACCCCGCCGGTGGGAGGCCTGGGCTG